TCCTCCTCCTCCTCCTCCTCCTCCTCCTCCTCCTCCTCCTCCTCCTCCTCCTCCTCCTCCTCCTCCTCCTCCTCCTCCTCCTCCTCCTCCTCCTCCTCCTCCTCCTCCTCCTCCTCCTCCTCCTCCTCCTCATTCTCTTTCTCACCATCATCAACTCTCTTCCTCTCCTGCTTGTCGTCAGCAGCTCGCGGCACTTGCACCAGGCACATGGAGGAGCACAGCGAGAGAGGAACGAGCGTCCCCGTCTTCCACCTCTCCCCCAGCATGTGCCCAGCCCAGTCTAGCAGCTTCTTCGAGTACGCGCGGCACGCCGACAAGTCCAGCTGCTCCCAAGCTAGCAGGCAGCTATCGAGCGCAAACCAGCTGCTGTAATCGCGAGCTCCGTCCCAGATGAACTCGCTTGCGAACCCTTCCTCGTACCCGTGCGAGACTATGGCCCCTCTGACCTCCCCCCACTCCCTCTTCCTCTTCCTCCCCGCTCCTCGCTCGCACACCTTCTCGTCGCACACCACCTCCTTCTTCTCCTCCTTCCTCTCCTCTTCCTTCTTCTCTTCCTCCTTCTTCTCTTCCTCCTTCTTCTCCTCCTCCTTCTCGATCTTCTGCCGCTTGACTGGCGACATCTTGCTGAGATTGGAGTGGTTCACATGGAGGAAGGCGACGCCTCTAGGAGCGCAGAACCACTTGTGGCAGTTGCCAACGTAAAAATCTGCTCCTGTTCGCTCGAGATCGAGCGGACAGGATCCGAGCCCTACAGTGATCGAAGGAGGGAGGAGAGATGGAGTCAGGACAGGCAAGAGTATGGTTGTGAGATGCGGAGGGAGAGAGGAAGAGGAAGGAAGGAAAGACAAGGAGAGAGAGGGGGAGAAGAAAACCGGAAGGAGAGGTTGATAAAGGAAGTGGGAGGGAACATGAAGGCAGAAGGCAGAAGGGAGGAGCAGAGAAGCAGAGGGAGTGAGGAAGGAAGGGAGACAGAGGGGAGGAGGAGGGGAGGAGGAGGGGAGGGAGGGACCGTGAGCTCCGTCGATCAGGACGAGCGCGTCCTTCTTGTGGCAGATTTCAACAAGTTCGTCGATGGGAAAAAGAAGAGCCTGAAGCAGATGAAGTGAAAAGGAGAGCAAAGCGGAGCACAGCAGAGGAGGGGAGAGGAGAGGAGGGAAGAGGAGAGGAGGGGAGAGCAGAGCAGAGCAGAGCAGAGCAGAGCAGAGCAGAGCAGAGCAGAGCAGAGCAGAGGAGGGGAGGGGAGGGGAGGAGAAGTAGAGGAGGAGGAGAGAAGAAACAGTGTTTTCTAGCAGCTCGTCTGCTTGTTCCACCTCATTCGAAGTGACATGATCTATGACGACAAGCTTGCAACCCTCCGGTATCGCAGCTGAAGGCAAGAAAGAATACTTTCACAAAACTCTTCCTCCTCCCTCCTCCTCCTCCTCCTTCGTTTCCTCCTCCTCGTCGTCTCCGTTCCTGTCCTCCTCTTCTCCTTTTCCTGCCTTTTCTCCTCCCTCTCTCCCTTCTCCATCCAACATCACCTTCTACTTGAGCGAGGATGTCTTCGCTCCCCTTCATCTCCTTGAGCTTAAGTTTCGCCTCGACCGGCACCGCGTTCTTGTCCTGCTGGCGATCAGCTAGGGAGTGGACAATGGTCCAAGGTGGAAGAGGAGGACGTGAAGAATGGATGGAGGAGGAGGGGAGGAACGAGGAGAGGAGGATGAACGTGGTATGAGGGAGAGAACGAAGGAGGAGGAAGAGGATGAAGCAAGGGGGAGGAGGGGGGACAAAGGCGAAGGGGGAGGGAGGAGCAGGGAGGCAACCAGCATCTTCACCTTGCAGACCTTCCTTATCATCTTCTTGACGCTCGCATATGTGCAGTCAAAGAAGAGGACCTTGTCTTGAGCGCTCAGCGGGAAGCTCTGGAGTATCTCCTGGTCACCTTCTCCTCCTCCCCTCCTCCCTCTCCTCCACCTCAAGCACGCAGTTCAGGCCAGTCGTTGCGTTCTGCAACAGCACCTGAAACGAGTTGACCAGTCAGCCGATGCTCCTCCCAGAGCACAGAAGTCACCAGGTCCTCGGGGCGGCAGTTGAGGAAGGACGCAAACTTTTTGATCACTCCGACAACCCTGGGGAAAAGCTCCCGGTCGATAAAACGAAGAGGCTGGCGCTCCGTGTATACTCTCCACCTGCACTCGGCACAACTTAGAGGAGAGGATGGGAAAGAGGAGGAGCGGGATGAGGGGAGGAAGGAGGAGAGGGAAGAGGAGAGGGAGCAAGGAAGAGAGAAGAGACAGGGGAAACGAGAGAGGAGGGGAGCGAGGAGGGGAGAAGAGACATTGAGAACAGCGATCACAACACATGCGAGCGATGGCAGGAGCAGCAACAGGAGCAGGAGCAGCAGCAGCAGCAGCAGCAGGAGCAGGAGCAGGAGCAGGAGCAGGAGCAGGAGCAGGAGCAGGAGCAGGAGCAGGAGCAGGAGCAGGAGCAGGAGCAGGAGCAGGAGCAGGAGCAGGAGCAGGAGCAGGAGCAGGAGCAGGAGCAGGAGCAGGAGCAGCAGCAGCGGTAGGGTGTAAGCAGATCTCCATGAACCACCTCTGCGCGATGTCGACGATGAGCGAGAACGGAGCTCCGAAGGCGCCATGGTTGACGAAGGTCCAGTTCCTGTCGAGTAGGAAGAGATCTTTCATCTCGTGGCCGAGGGAGCGTCTCTTGAAACAGTCGAATTCCTGCTGACTACATCAGCCGTAGTCGAGGAGGAGGAGGAGGAGGCAGCTCTACGTCATGGCGGATGATGTCCCGTGGGATCGGCGGAGGGACGAAGTTCTGCGACAGGAAGGTCACGAGAGGATAAGGATGGGTGTAGGAAAAGAGCTGAGAGGGGGATAAGAAGTGGAAGGAGGAGGAAGAAGGGAGGAAGAGAAGGGCGGTGGAGGAGGAGGGAGGAGGGAGGAGGGAGGAGGGAGGAGGGAGGAGGGAGGAGGGAAGAGGGAGGAGGTGGTCTTCGAGTTCACCGGGTCTTTATGATCTCCTCTACGTTTCCCGAGTTGAACGAGCCGAATCCCGGCTGAAAGGGCTCTCAGAATCTTGAGATTAGCTGAGAAACGAGCAAACCTTGCTCGATACTCCCTCTTTCGATGTGCTTGACATGATCCCCCTGCCAACTAGGCCGAACTGTCAGGAGTGCTCCAACTTGCCCTCCTGATGCTGGCTCCTCCTTCCGCTACTGACTATCCCTCACCCTCGCTCCTCGCTCCTCCCTCCTCGCTCCTCCCTCCTCGCTCCTCCCTCCTCCCTCCTCCCTCCTCCCTCCTCCCTCCTCCCTCCTCCCTCCTCCTCCTCCCTCTTCCTCTTCTCATTCCCCAATCTGCTGCGCATCTCGATTCCTCATGAATGTCTAGGTTCAGAATGGTGGGTGGGGTAGTAAGACCCCTGTGTAAGGTGGGGTCCAGATATGCCAATATAGGGGTATCTTGAGTGGTAGGGTATTAGTAATTCGAGGGGTGGGGTGATCGAGCAGGCGGATCCACATGCAAACTAAACCATGGCGTGAAGAGAGCAGGAGAGGAGAGGAGAGGAGAGGAGAGGAGAGGAGAGGAGAGGAGAGGAGAGGAGAGGAGAGGAGAGGAGAGGAGAGGAGAGGAGAGGAGAGGAGAGGAGAGGATTTAGATGGCGTCGACTAATCTGAAGGCGACGATGATCTTGTTGTTGTTGACACTGTCCATGACTTTGGAGGGAAGTACTCCAATTTCGACCTGCGTTACATTGTACAACAACGGCAAGACGAACCAGGAATGGGAAAGAACAAGTACACAATGTCCCAGCGAGTCTGAAGTCATAGCAAGGACATCGCGCGGCCTTTTGATTTCTTCTTTCAGCCGCGTCATCCTTCGAGGAGGGAAAAAGAATGCGGTAGGGCTCAACAAGTACGGATCATGGAACATCGGGGGGAAGTGGTCCAAGGGAGATAGGAAGATCAAGCTGCTACGAACCCCCGATGGGTTCACTTTCAGCAGGTCGCAGATGAGGAGGCAGAAGAGGAAGTGGAAGCAGGAGTACGGCGATGCAGCGAAGGAGATCGCGGAGAGAGAAAAGAAGCAGAGGAAAGGAGGAGAGGGAGGGGCAGTTTCTGAGGAGTTCGAGCGCACGCAGGAAGAGAATGCGATGGAGGAGGAAACCTTCACTCCAGAGGGTCTGATGGAGAAAGTGAATCAGCTTCGAAAGAGGCTGAACATGACGTCGTCTCCTGAAGACGACCATGAAGCGTTACGGGCATTGAAGAAGGAACAGGCCAGTCAGAGTCAGAGTCAGAGTCAGAGTCAGAGTCAGAGTCAGAAATCTACAAAGGATGGGAATCTGGATCAGATGGCAAAGGCGATCTTCAAGGAAGAGTTCTGCAAGGGGGCAGCGGAAGGAGATCCTGGGGCATGCTTCATCGTCTCGGGCGCAGGATCGAGCGAGGTGAACGGCATGTATGAGAGGGATCGTCGCGACCTGTTCACAGACACGGCAAGATACAAGATGAAGTCAAGTGAAGGGACTTTCACCCTGCTGTTCGTCAAGGATGAAGCAAGGGGTCAAGTGAAAGGGAAGGGCAAGGGGGCGAGGAGGATGGGGAGATGGGTTATCTTTTGCAACAGCGCTGGTGTGAAGAGAGAAAGGCCTTACTATCAAGCGGTGATGCTCAAGAACCCCTGCTGTCTCTGACGAATGTCTGATGATCTTTGCAAGCCTTGCTGTTCTTCCCTCCCTACTCTCGTCTCCTCTCTCCTGCCTCCCCTGCCTCTTCTATCACTGCTTGTTCTCATCCTCTCCCACACATTCTCCTGCATTCGATCGCATCATTCGCGCCTGATCAGCTTCTCTTGTCAGTTTGGAAGTCTAGAAGAGGCGACTTCGAGCCCATGGGCATGTGTCGTCGGGAAACAACCAGCACCATCGTTGGTGAAAGAGAAAAATCCATCACGAGCGTTGAGGGAACAGATGAAGACTGCGAAAAATAAGGATGATGACGAGGACGAGGTAATTCTTAGCTGCCAAATCCCCCTCCACATATTCTTTCTACGCTCTCGTCCCTCGCTCCCCTGCGCTACTCCCGCTATTACTACCCTCCCCTTCGATCTTACTTTCGCTCTCTTCTGTCCTCCCTCTCTCTTCTCCACCTCATCTCACTTCTCCTCCTTCTCTCTCTCCTCTTCTCACTCTTCATCGTCTCACTTCCATTTCTCCTCCATCTCCCACCACTTCGCCCTCTAACACAGCAGAGCAGGAGGTGGAGAAAGATCCGTGGCAGGACCTTGCTGAATATGTCACTTCGGAGATGAAAGCGTCTAGTACACAGATGGATCGTCCCGTCAAGAAGCGGAGCAAGGAGGAGGAGGAGGAGTTGAGGGAATGGGAGGAAGAAGAGCAGGACAAGGAGGAAGATATCCAGGACAAGAGCCTCAGCGAGGATATGGAGGAGCTGGAAAAGGCTCTAAGAGAGGATGCGGATGATTGCAGGGGGTTTGAAGTGGACAAGTCCATCGGGTTTGAAGGAAACGTTGGGTTCGAGGAATCGAAGGATCTGCTTATGATTCCTGTAAGACAACATGGTGGTGAAGTGATCACG